TTTTTGTGGAGGGAAAAAATGCCAATGCATCCAACCAACTCCTAAAATACAGAAAAGAAAGAAAGAAAAAAATAAAAAGAATCATCTGCATATTTCAAATAAGAATAGTAGAATGGGGGAAAGGGTCAACTAATCTTTAACCTCATTAAAACATGCTCATGGTGAAAATTTATTTTACATATTTAAAATAGTACATTTAAAATTATTAGTTACATTACAGGTACAATGATGAACATTGTGACTCTCCATTGTATTGCACAACCTGACTTCATCCATATGGTTTTCTTTAAATAGTGCAAAATTCTTTATACAGGAATGTGTTCGGAAGGGTCTTTGCAATCAAAATAAGGGCAATATCTTACATATTTGTATGAACACATATAAAGAAAAGGGGACGGGAGAAATAAAAAAAGTTACAATCTGTACAGAGGAATTGCCACAGACAACCAAAAAGTTCCCTCTCTCCTGGGAGAAGCAGCGGGCCTCTGACCTACGCAGGTCTGCCATTTGTGCTAAATAAATAGAAGTCCAGTCCAGTGAGTCCTGTGGTGGGTCAAATGTAGCAACGAAGGCATACCTTTTGTCACCTAGGGTTTCAGTAGGGTTCTTTTCTTAACGAAATGGGTGTGGGGAGAATGAGGGGGAAAAAATGAACAGAAAATTATAAACAAAAAGGAAAGAAAATCCACCATCCCCATCACCAACAAAAAACCCCAGAACAATCCAGCCTGGATGCCCGGCTCTCACGCCTCAGTTCCAGTGGCACTGTTGAGAGTAAGCAGCAGTAATCCCCCACCATGAATTTGCATTTCTGTGTTCTCTTGTTTGTGAATTTTTCCAATCCACATACTCCTCTCCCAGGGAAGCCAATGAGGCACTTACTTGATGCTCCCGTCACTACTCTCTGCTGCTGTTGTGGCTTTGGTGAGGGGTGCCAGGATGCTGCCTGGGACCCAGCCCTCGGCGGCAGGGGAGTGGTCGCTGGCGGGCTGGTACACCAGGCACATGTTCTGCTGGTTGACGGCGAGGACCTGGACCACCTCACCTTGGCTCACACAGATTTCATTCTCCTTCAGTGCATAGTAATCTTTGATCACAGCCATGGAGGAGGTCCCATTGCAGCCTCCTAGGTCGTTCTGCCAGGAGACAGGGCAAGAGGGACAAACACAAGGTCGGTTCACCTGGGCTTGCTCTGTGCTCTGCAGCATGGCTAAAGGCCAGTTCTCCCCCAGGAAGGACATAGCAGGCACAGTACATCCTGAGGTAATGTCACTAGATTCATAAGATGCTCTAAAAAATGTATTTTTAGCAATGTTTCATACAACATTACAGTCAAGGGAACAGGCAAAGATACCATCTAGCTCCAGTCTAGGTAAAGAGACAAACATACCTTTGACCTGGAACCCCCTCCCCTCCCAGCAGATTACCTTCCCATCAGTGTCCTCTTACTAACGGAAGGACGAACCTGGCACTGGCCTAGGGATATGCAAGCACCTAGGCAGAGTGACGCCAGGGCAAAGTCAGGTCAAGGGTCACGGTCCTCTGATGGAAACCACACAGACCCTTAAACAGTGCCTGCTTTTTCCTTTGGAAAAAGCATTGGACTTTCCCACGTTCTGACTCTCCTTGAGACAGAGTAGGAGTGACACTCTCCAATCCAAAGGCAAGGGCGTGACCTACTCTGACATAACTTCTTGTGAGAGCAGAACTGCTACAGTTCCCCATCCCTCCTTGTACTCAGCAGGAGAGGTGCTGTCCGTGTGACATTTTCATCTGAGTCTACTAGGGCAGCTGCTTCTAGATAGGTTTGTCTCTCCCTAAGAGGCTTGCTACTCCAAGAGCATGGTAAGAATCAGAAGTTCTTCATCTTGGGGACCAGCAGTTAGTGTAATGGCTATGTTGCTGGACTCCCACATAGCCAACTGCGGTTCGAGTTCTGGACCCAGTGGCTTAAACTCACGCCAGGTGCGTGTGCGTGTGTGCCCAAGATCCCAAGAGGAGAGAGGAGGAGAAGGGATTGAGGCATGGCCATCCCCCCTGGGGGGTGATTTCTTGGCTCTCTCTGTCTTTTTGGCGAGTGCACACGCCCTGTAGCAAAAACCTCTCAAAAAAAAAAAAAGAAGTTCTCCAACATGTATGTTAGACTGCAAAGTGACTTTGACTTACTCACAAAGAAAAGGAGTTTTTAGGGTGGAAAATCACTTCCAGGCAGTATGCTGAAATAGGTTGGTACAGTTATGCTAATACAGAATTGGACATAGACATTATAATTATTTTTTTAATTGCCAGAGGGCTTGTGTACTCATCACAGACAGAGACAGAGGGAGAGGGAAAGGGAGAAGGAGAAAGTACCCCTCAATGGGGTGTGGTCACATCATTATCCCTTCTCTTCCATTTCTCCATCCTGTTGAGATTGGGGGTGTGCACACGTACACACACACATGCATACACACACACACACATTCACCCACAATGTTATCAAGCTAACAGGGCTGGCAATGGGGTATCCAATTCTCTTAACATTAAGCTATAGGACCAGACTAATAATTAATTTTAATAAATCAGGATCAACTAATAATTGGAAAATAATTTGGAAAAAAAAAAGAAGAAAACTATAGAATAGAAACATGTAGGAGACCAGTAGTTGGCGTAATGGCTATGTTGCTGGACTCCCACGTAGTCAACCATAGTTTGAGTCCCAGTCCCGGTGTTTTAACCTCAAGCCAGGCATGTGTGCCTGTGTGCCCAAGATCCCAAGAGGAGAATGGAGAAGGGATTGAGGCATGGCCATCCCCCCTGGGGGGTGATTTCTTACTTTCTGTCTCTCTGTCTGTCTTTCTGGTGAGTGTATGTGCCCTATAGCAAAAACCTCTCCAAAAAAAAAAAAAAAAAAAAAAAAAAAAGGAACGTGTCTGTCAAAAATATAGATGTTCCTGTAAACAGACCTATTGAGTTCTAAAGGAAACTGAGGCCTAATAAGATGAACTAACTTACTAAGATTCCAGAATGAGAGTGTTGCAGAATTTGGAATAGAAAGTGTATTCCCTGATTCCTAATCTAGAACTTTCCCCATCAAACAGCCATGGAAATTAGGTCTATGGTTAATTCTACAATTACCCTCACAGCGATGCTTAGTGGTGGAGTTATCTATGATAAATACTGAGCCCAAGACTGGCCTCTCCCATTCACACAATGTGATCAACTTCCCCTAACCACATCAGTGGTGGAGAGTGAAGAACCGTGCAGTTATACTGCAGTAGGCTCCTGGCAGATTAGAAAAGAGGATCTCTTTCTTTCTTTCCTTCTTTTTTTTTTTTTAGAGACAGAAAGCGAGAAATCACCCCCTGGGGGGATGGCCATGCCACAATTTCTTCTCCTCCATTCTCCTCTCGGGATCTTGGGCATGCACACACATGCGCCTGGCGTGAGTTTAAGCTACCGGGTCCAGGACTCGAACTGCAGTCGACTACATGGGAGTCCAGTGACATAGCCATTACACTTACTGCTGGTCCCAAGATGATCTCTTTCTAAGATGTTGAACAGAACTGTGGCTTTGAGATGACCCACACAACCATGCCTCTATTTGGTATAAAGCAAGTGTTTTCATGATTGCTGATACAAAAATACCTTATATTTGTATAGTCTGCCTGCCTGTCTTTCTTTCTTTCTTTCTTTCTTTCTTTCTTTCTTTCTTTCTTTCTTTCTTTTGCCCCAACCACTACGTCACCTGCTGGTCCCTGTACAGTGTTTCTGTAAATGGTAAAAGCCTTTTATCACAGTGTCTGAGCCAGAGGGAACTCTCAGTTTACAGGGGAAGAAAGGAAAACAACCCAGACAAGACTGTATTAGTGGGCTGCTCCTGCTAACATAGTCAACATAAAAGGGTCTACTCCCTAAAGTGACCTCGTAGGCTGTGCCCTCGGAGTGGCAAGTGTCAGAGTGTGAGTAGGCTGTGCCCTCGTAGGCTGTGCCCTCGGAGTGGCAAGTGTCGGAGTGTGAGTCGTCACTGACCTTGCTGGCCTCGAACTTGTCCCCAGGCTGGTGGTAGTCAAACCCTGGACTGCCATTGGAGGTAGTTATCTTCAGGGGTGGCAGAGGTGGGTTATAGCTGGAGCCTTTTGGGGGCTTCTCAGAGCCCACGGGGACAGAGGAGTAGGGCCTGGGGCTGGCTTGGGGAGCCCTAGCAGGCTGGGCCCTCATCACAGCTGTGCTCCTTTCTTTCCGCTGATACTCAATGGGCGACTGCAGTGCTGTAGGGTAAAAGCAGATGGTTACTCTAGGCTTTGGGAACCCCACAAGGCCTAGCAGGTGCAGTATGAGGAACATACTACCCTTACTTTTTAAGGTGCCACAAGAACTCACACAACTGCCTAAATAACGAAAATACAGAAACAAAATGATGCCACATGTGAGGTGCAACGTGCTGTGTGAAGGGAGGAGAGGAGGCTTGCAGTGCGTGTGTGCATGCAGCAGCAAGTGTGTACAGGTGTGCGAGCGTGCGGGTGTGGTGACAGAGCTTCAGAAGAGGGCTGGCTGGCTGGCTGACATTTAGACTGCAGAAAGGAAGCAAGTGTGAAGCACGTTTGGGGAACAGGATGAAATCAGATTACCTGGAGCGTAAGGCCATGGTCTATAAAGAAGAGGCAAGACAGGCAAGGGAGATTGGAGGTATGATGGTATGAAAGATCCAGAAAGCCAGGCTGGGTCTGGGCTGAATTCTGAAGGTCATGAAAAGTGACTGAACTAAATGAACTTTAATGTTTTAAAGTCAGATTCTGTCATCAGAGGCACATTTGAAGAGCAGTTAGGAAGAGAGATTGGCAAAGAAGAGTGAAAGGCTTTTGGTTTAACTCAGATGCCATGCCATAGTAACAAGCAAGAGGTGGAGAGTCTAAGAGAGTGGGTCGAGGGGATGTGAAATGGACCCGGGTGTGATAAACATGGAGGGAGACAGATTCTAACAGCTTAGAAGGAAAAGCAAGCAAGGATGGAAGCTTGCTCAGGTTTAGAGACTGAAAGAATGGTAGCCAATGCACCACTCAACCTCAGGAGAACAAGCTGATTTGAAGGGGAAAGCGGGAGCTTTCTTTTATGGAGTTTCAGATAACACAGTTCCAAGGTCAGAGTGCTAAAGAGGTACAGCTTGGCAAATGCCATACAGGTCAAATTCTGCAAGAACAACTTCAAGCGTTGATTTGATTATGTCATTTTCATCAGTATTCACTGTAACAACTATTTAAGTGGGCTAACTTTCAATGACAGGGATCTTTCTACAGTGGTAGGTCTGTACTTCAATAGCACTCCACATAGGGTCACGCCTCCTTTCTATGTGAAGTCTCAGGGGACAAAGATTGGCTCTGAGATGCCTCCACATGTCTCTGTAAGTGAAAGCCTGGCCCCGGCCCATCGTCACATCCTTCTCTCTTGAGTGTGTCAAAATATATAACAGGCCTGCCAGAGCTCAGCCACTCTCCCTGGGGAGTGTTCTGTGAGCATTCATATTTAGTTCATGATAACCTAGTTCAGTAATACCTCCATAATTCACTATAATTAGGAGAAAGTCTCTTGAAATTGTATAGAAGTCTGAAACACTGACCACGCCTAAAGAAATAGTGCCTCTAGGGTTAGGGTTAGGGTTAGGGTCAGGGTCAGGGTCAGGGTCAGGGTCAGGGTCAGGGTTAGGGGTTAGGGGTTAGGGTTAGGGTTAGGGTTAGGGGTTAGGGGTTAGGGGTTAGGGTTAGGGTAAAAAAAAAAAAAGAAATAGTGCCTCATTTTAAGGCGTTGATTTGATTATGTCATTTTCATCAGTATTCACTGTAACAACTATTTAAGTGGGCTAACTTTCAATGACAGGGATCTTTCTACAGTGGTAGGTCTGTACTTCAATAGCACTCCACATAGGGTCACGCCTCCTTTCTATGTGAAGTCTCAGGGGACAAAGATTGGCTCTGAGATGCCTCCACATGTCTCTGTAAGTGAAAGCCTGGCCCCGGCCCATCGTCACATCCTTCTCTCTTGAGTGTGTCAAAATATATAACAGGCCTGCCAGAGCTCAGCCACTCTCCCTGGGGAGTGTTCTGTGAGCATTCATATTTAGTTCATGATAACCTAGTTCAGTAATACCTCCATAATTCACTATAATTAGGAGAAAGTCTCTTGAAATTGTATAGAAGTCTGAAACACTGACCACGCCTAAAGAAATAGTGCCTCTAGGGTTAGGGTTAGGGTTAGGGTCAGGGTCAGGGTCAGGGTCAGGGTCAGGGTCAGGGTCAGGGTTAGGGGTTAGGGGTTAGGGTTAGGGTTAGGGTTAGGGGTTAGGGGTTAGGGGTTAGGGTTAGGGTAAAAAAAAAAAAAGAAATAGTGCCTCATTTTAAGTACATAGCACCATTGTGAAGTAAAGCTAATCAGGCTATGAATCAAACCACCTGCTGGAATTGGAGTATTACCTGATTATATGCAATACCTGGGCTAAAGCATTTGCAGAGAGTATGCCTCCTTAAATAAGCTGCATAGAAGGCCTGCATTCTTTCACCAGCCTCAATTTGCAAATATAGTTCTTAGCATCAGGAAAGCTGTGCAGCTCTGACTGGATTTGGTTTTGGCTCATGGGTGCAGTTTCTTAAGCCTGGTCCTGTTACTTTCTTTGCTAGGGAGCCCACAGATAAATATGTATCTTACCACTAGCAACTGTGCTGCAGTTTTGTGGTTAAGCACCTCCTCTGGAGTTCTAGATCACTGGGTTCAAGACCTTCCTCTATCATCTACTGTTTTGGTGAGCTTCCACTTCCTCACCTGAGAAGAGCAGGATGATGGTCCTTACCCCTTCATGCTGACATTAGGGTTAAATGTGAAAAGTCATTTAATGGGCATTGCTTCGCATGGTGTCTGGCACTGAGTCAGGACTCAAGATATGGGAGCCATCATCGTTACTTTAATTACTTTCAGTTTCAACTTATTGTCTAACCTTATTTTTCTTTTGGTCTGAATTGGTAAACTTAAAAGCTTTACTCCAGAATTCATCAGAAATTTCTATTTAGTAGAATGCAGTTTAGGTGGATATTTTATATATGCACATATTCTTGCACAGTTATTTAATCAATGAATGTATTAACTCCAAGATGGATGTTTAGGAACTGTAAGTTACAAACAACTTTCATTACCACCCCTCAGGATGGGCTGCTATTTAATTTTAGATTTTTTTCATGTGAAAAAGAACCCTACAGATCACTTAGTCTACTTAGTCTAGTCTTTTTTTTTTTTTTTTTTTTTAACCAAACTTTTCTATAGCTGGAGGCAGGGAACATGGCTCCAAACTACTCTCTTTAAGTATAAAATGGCTTTGAAGCTTCATGTTGCATCTTAAACGGTCATGGTGTCCTGCTACATAATCATTTTATTTGCTTTAAAATAAAAACATAGTGTCGTATCCCTTGCCATGCAGCACAAGTGGCACTGTAGGGAGCTGTGCCACATCCTCCTGCACCCAGCATGGGGCACACCAGGGCACATGCCAGCACGGGCATAAGCAATCTTTCCCCAACTCTACCTTTTCAAGGCAAGACCTGTGAGGCCCAGAGAAGTGTCATGACTTGCCCCCCGTCCTCAACTAGCATGCCATCTTTACCCTTCCCCACAGCATTCAGTTCCTTCTAGACACTCTACAGTGCTCTGTTTGCATCATTTGAAAAAGCCCAGGTCCTCATACTGGCAAGAAGAGGTGACACACCCGTGGGTGAGTATGTGTGTGTGTGTGTGAATGTGTGTGGGGTGCTCGCATGTGCACGTGTGCATAAATATACAGGCATATGTGCTTGCTGAGTCTACAGGTTTACTTCATTACTGGTTATGTTTTGCAGTTAATTTCAATTTCATTTCTTGTCAGGAGACTTCAGAGTTCACCAAGTCAGCAAAACAGTACTAGTTTAAAACCATACACCTCTGTCTGCATGCCAAACACAATGTGAAGAAAACTCAAGCAGGGGGAAAAGATGAAAAAAACATGAAAGAGGTAGTAACTCTACTTCGCTGCACCTGTTAGGGGACTCTTGCAGGATACAGAAAAAGTGACATCTTCTGCATAGCCAGTTCGTTCCAGGAAGTTCTGAGGTATTTCTTTTCTTTTTTTTTTTTTTTTTTTTGGCGCGTGCGCACGCCAGACAGACAGAGATATAGAGACAGAAAGCGAGAAATCACCCCCCAGGGGGGATGGTCACGCCACAATCCCTTCTCCTCCATTCTCCTCTCGGGATCTTGGGCATGCACGCACATGTACCCGGCATGAGTTTTAAGCCACCGGATCCGGGACGCGAACCGCGGTCGACTACGTGGGAGTCCCACGACATAGCCATTACGCTAACTACTGGTTCCCATGAGGTATTTCTGATATTTAGAATTAGTAATCCCTCTTACCTGAAAGGGGTAGGGTTGGCTAGCAAAACAGCTTATCTAGGCTCTCATGCTATTAGGGACTGAGGAGGGATTTGAATCGACCTATCAAACTCTCAATTGTCTCAAGACAATACTGGGGGACCTGTGAAAGTACTATCTCTTTGCCACCTAGTTGGCAAGACATGCCATTGAGAGCTGGCTCCTAAGACACAACATTTGCCCACCTCGGACTTTTGCCCAAATTATCATCCGCTGGTAGTGGTAGCTACAAGACATAGACTCTATGTTCATAAGAGAACATCCCTTCTATTAGAAAGATGGGGCTCCTTTCTCACACCCTATCTATTCCCCTTGTGTGCTCAGGGTTACGAGAATTCGTATTTCTAAAACTACAAACCCGAGTTCACATACAATGTGATCTGGGCTCATACCCAAGGAATCTCAGAGGTGTAGAGACCTCTGAAACGGCCCTGTGGGAAAGCATGCCCATCACCCACCATTTAAGAAGTCTCTCTGTGTTTCTAAGACTTGGCTGATGTCCTGCACCCAGGCCTGCTGGATGTCAGCGTTGGCGGCTTGTAGAATGACCCTCTCGGAGGTCTCCCTGTTCATGAGCGCAAACTTGCAGGGGTCATTATCCACATTCTCCTCCAGGACCAAGTAATTCATCTGGAAGAAAACAAGTTGATCCCTTTCACATTGAAGTTTTTTTTTTTTTTTTTTTTTTTTTTTTAATAGCAACACAATGGGCTGGCAGATGGTATGGTGGTTAAGGCACTGGATCCTACATGGCTGACTCTGCAGTTTGGGTCTTGACTTAGCGGCTTAAAAAATATGCTGAGTGTGTGCCGAATGTGTGTATATGTGTGCTCAAAATCTGGAGAGCAGAGTGGAGGAGAAAGGATTACAGCATGACTGTCACCCCTGGGGTAGGTGATTTCTCACTTTCCCTCTCTCTCTGGTGAGTACACATGTCATGTGGTAAAAATCTTAAAAGAAAAAAAAAAAAGGCCGTGTAATATTGCTCCTCATGGTTTTTATTCCAGGAGAATTTTCCAAATTTTGTCCTTGATCTAACAGATATGGTTGCTACATTAGCTTTGGGTGAATGACATGATCCCAGGGATCCTGCAGGATCATGCTGAGATGGCGCTCAGCCTGTTGCTTTTTCTCACAGATGATCACCAATTACTGCTTTTGTTCACCCTCCATGAAGGAAGGTTCCTACTGAGAGACCTTCTGGGTTCTGGATCCTCACCAGTCCAGTACCTTGTCACAGGGCAAAGGCTCCCAAATATTTGGCTCTTGTTGGCCCTTCTCATCTCACTGGGCTCCTCACCTTGATGCTCCTTTTGAACATGTAGCCCGGGGTGAGGGATCCCTTCCTGAGCAGCTCACTGAAGATGACAATCTGCTCGAACAGGAACACGCGTCTTTCCTTGGTCCGGGACTGCATGCCTGCATCCAGCTCGATGACATAGAATGTGTCCTGCTGCAGCAGCTTCCCCTGAGCAGTCAGGGTGCCCTGAGGGCAAGAGGGTAGAGAAAAAGGGGTGAAAATGGGGGCGATGACCTCTGGGTCCACAGAACCTCCTCTCTGGGGCATGGATAACAGACCTGACACCAAGGGCCTACAGCCTCCAGTAAGAAACTGAATTAAGACCCACCCAGTGAACAGGGCAGACTGGCCACTTTCGTATTCACACAAGGGCCCTGAAAGGGAAGGAACAAAGGTGATGGAACCACTAAGACACAGCTCCAGGAAAATGCCAGCAGGAAGGAAGGTAAAATAAATCAGCCAAAAAGAGATTCTGGAGTTATCCTGGCCTGTTTCATTCTTCATGAAAAGGATAATAGAATTTAGGTGACGCTGAAATTGGAAGTGTCCTTCTGTCCCTGAGCTCCAAGAACTGTGCCCACCTTGCTCCCCTGCAGCACAGGCCAAGGACCTAGGGTGCTCTCAGGGTTGCAGCCTTAGATCCAACCTGTGGCCAAGGGAAGTGAGGCAGGGATGGCCACTGAGAATCTGACGACTCAGGCCCCTGCTCCTTCTGTTATTTTAGGATGGAGGAATTCGGAAGTCTTGGTCTCCTGTTACAGGTCAACAGGCAAAGCTGGGGGTACACAAATTGGTTTCCACATTTTATAATCTCACAGATATTTTCCCAGGTCTTGTGATCTTTCTTAAAATGACAGTAGCTACCATGCCATCTGACACCCAGCCAAGGAGGCAGAGACTATTTGGTTTGCTAGTTTCTAATGAGATTTCCAGAGACACCTTTACATCTTCAAAGGGAATATGACCCAACCCAGCAAGTCTACGCAGAAGCTGTCAGAGTCTTGTTTTTCCTATAGCTCGTAACAAGACCCTGATGTCTGAGACGGCAGTCAGAGGGTCTCCTCTAAAATATCCTCTTTCTTGGGTGGAGACTTTTGCCATTGATTGCAAATATGGGCCATTCCCTTCACGTGATGCCTCATTTCAAACATTACGTAGCGCTGGGGTTATTTTTCTTTTGTGTTCCTGAGAAACACTTGCACTCTGCTTGGATCGTGGTTCCTTAGTGCCAAGGTCAGCAGCCAAACAGGCTTATCTCAACCCTGGTCTCAAGTTAATATTAAGCCAGTGACCAGCTCATTTTAGAGCCAAGAAAGCTCTAAAAGGTCTATTGTTACACAAGAACCTGGTCATGGGTTATAGCCCAGCCAAAACTAAAGGAAAGCCAAAGGATTTGAAAGGGAGAGATTTAAAATAAGGGGTCTGTAACTTCACCCAGGCCTAAAGTCATGGACTCGGCACGAACACACGTTCGCTGCCCTTCCAACTACCCAGAGGAATGAAAAGCAGGTTCCTGTGGCTTGATGAGAAGAGGAGACCATGGTGTTTGATTTAAAAGAAAAATGATGGCCAGCCAGTGGCTTGGTAGTTAAGGTGGCTGGATCCCACATGGATGACTACATGGTTCAAGTCTCAAACCTGGCAGTTTGAAAAACATGCCAGTGGGACTGGTAGTTAAGGAGCTGGACTCCCACATGGCCAACCACAGTTCAAATCTTAGACCTGGTGATTTGCTTTCTCATTTTTTCTCTCTCTCTGGTCAAATTAAATAGTAATAACAATAAGTAAAATAAAATAAGTAATTCTTTAAAAAAAAAAAAAAGAAAAGAACAACATGCCAGGAGCATGTACATGTGTGCCTAAAATCCTGAGAAGGGAATGAAGCTTGATTATCACCCCCTACCCTCCAAGACGTGCTTTCTCACTTTCTCTTTGTTTCTCTCCAGTGAGTGCACTTAACCTTTAGCAAATTAAAAACAAACAAACAAACCCCCCCCCCCCAAAAAAAAAACACAGAAAAGAAAAGAAAAAGAGAAAAAAGAAAAATGAGGCCCATTTGTTTATAGTGGCATGTCCTACTAAGATGCTGTGCTCTGGCTGGACCAATAGAGCATGGTTGTGTGCACCTCTAATTCTAGTGACTTCAGAGGAAACAGGAGGATCACTACATGCAGAGACTCTAGAGGAAAGAATTCCAAACTCCTGTGTGTGGTCTTATATGTATCCATGTACACATGCACCACCTAGTTCCTGTGAAGTCTCACTTGGGTCAGACAACACAGTTGGAGACGGCATTCACCCTGTCTGTGGTCAGTTCATTCCTCCTGTCTGTGGTCAGTTCCTCCAAAGACCCATAGAAAGGCCAGTGAGGCCCTTATTTAGGTAACATGGAGACTTCAAGGGTGAAGAGCAAAGAAATTACTTGGTTTGGTTAGAACGGATCCAGTCCTGACATAACACCAAGCCCATCAAGTATGACTAAAGAAAACCCACGTAAGAACTTAGTAACCGCGTTTAAGCTTGTGCCTCAGGTCTACCTTGAAGAACCAGGAACCTATGAAAATGAACAGCAATGAAGAGCTATCTAGTTGTCACAGAAAGCATGGAAACCAGACAGGGACATGCGAGATGGGCTGGAAGGGCAAGGAGGACAGATAATTTGGCTTAAGAATGTCATAAATCCAGCTCATTAATCCAAACCTGAATAAGCGTCTCCTAAATTCACTTAGACTGCCAGTCTGCCTTCTATCTATTCTATTTCACCTGTTCTAGTTTCATCAGGGGGGAATAAAAAAAATAAAAAAAAAACATTGCTTTTTAAATTAGCTCAACTTCTCAGAATCTCATTTCTCTGAAAAGGAATAATCAAATCTTAGGTTGCAGGATTTCTGGGAAACAGGATTAGAAGAGTCACATCTTTCTCAAAGGAATTCAATAACAATTAGGTGTCAGTCAATAATTATGCCTGCTCCAATTTTATCATATTAATATTCAAAACAGATGTTTAGTTAATTTGTGAGGTTTAGATATTAATTAATAACAGTGTTTTGCTAAACTTAAATGAGGAAAAGCAATTTGCTCTTCAAAGACCCATAACAGTGGGCCCCATCATCTCCCTGTGCTCACGCCTCCTACTGGCAATTCATGTGCGGAAATCCTGATGCAGTGTCTCAGAGTGTGCCCTTATTGTGAGACAGGGACTTTATAGAGGCAATCAAGTTAGAAGGAGGTCATTAGAGTGAACCCTATTAGAATATGACTGATATCCTTATAAAGGGGGAAATTTGGATACAGAGAAACACCCAGAGGGAAGATACAGGGAGAATGCCATGGGAACGTGAAGACAGCCTTCTACAAGTCAAGGAGAGAGGCCTTACCGCCCTCAGCAGGAGCCATCCTTGACAATGCCTTGATTTCAGACTTGGGGCCTCCAGAACTGTAAGCCGGTACGTTTCTGTTGTATGGGATCTGGTTATGGCAGCCCTGGCACTGTGGACACGCACCTGCACTGAGGTCCTTATGACCTCTAGCTATTCCCCTTAAGGCTTAATTTCCCCTTTAAAAGGACAGAAATGTGTACCATGATATTTTAGGGCTTTAAATGTTCACTTAATTAAAAAGCTAGTCACCATACAAACCTGTTTATTAGAATCACATACTCAACAGGACCTGCAGTTTGCGTAATGGCTATGTCTTTGGACTCCTATGTAGTCAACTGCGGTTCGAGTCCCAGACTTGGTGGCTTAAACTCATGCCAGGCACATGTGCGTGCATGCCCAAGATCCCGAGAGGAGAAAGGAGGAGAAAGGATTGCAGCGTGGCCATCCCCTGGGTGGGGGGGGATTTCTTGCTTTCTTCTCTCTGTCTCTCTCTCTCTCTTTCTAGTGAGTGCACACACCCTATAGAAAAAAACTCTCAAAAAAAAAAAAAAAGGAATAAAAAAAATCACAGACTCAAAAAAAAGAGGGGGAGGAGTTTTCCATGTTCCTGCTTAGTTTCCACTCCATCCCATAGTCTTGCTATCCTTCCTGTTCCCAGCATTTCTCAGTCAAGAAAGAAAGGGCAAGAAATCACTGCCAGGTCCAAACCGTTAGAAGGACCTTTGTAACCTTCCACCCCTTGGAATTCTGAGTTCAGCCTGGCCAATTGCTCTGTACCTTCCCAGGTGTGCCCTATCACTGCACTCCCTAAACCGAGGCAGCTTCAGGCCTGCAGACCAGAGGGGCGTAGGTGCGATGGCAAGTGAAGAGGGCAGAGGAGGCAGGACACAGGGCTTCTGAGGGAAGCAGCCTTGGCTCCTACTGCCCCGAAGAGAGAGCTCAGACGCATTCTTACAGGCTCACCTCAAAGCCCTGCAGGCGTCCCAGATTCATCATGTCGTTGCAGCGTTTGGGAACAAGGCACATTAACTCCACTGCTTTCTGTGGGAAAGAACGATAGTCGCTCAGGAAGGGGGACAGCACTCAGGCAAAAAGCTTACGGGAATTCAGGGTTGGAAGACAGGGCCCTTGCCTCCTGGTAGCCCCATTATTCGGAAATGATGCTGGTCCTTGCTGTCCACTCTTAGAAGAGTGTGGGTCTTTCTGTTCCCTATGGGGGTATTAGTCACCAACACAGGGGCTCCGTGTCATCAGTGACTCTGTGTGGGGGGACTGTTACCCCACCCATCCTTTTCCAACCCTCCTGCTTCTATCAATTCTCTCTCCTTCTCCTGTTTTCTTTCTCACTGTTGCTTCCTGGCTACCCAAGCAACTCCAGAGCCTGGCTTTTGAAACACTAAAGAGTTTAAACTAAAATAAGCTGCCAGAACAGTCTGCAATCTCTTTGGTTTAAAATAATCCCCACGGTGACAATGTCTTAAAGAGCTTCACTCGGGGTAATCCTCAGGATGAGGCGAAGGACTGAAAATGGGATTCTTCATGCTAGATTCAAGTAGTACTAGGATTCCTGAGGAAAAAATCCACATTGAATCTCTGTGCAATCTATACCCAATCTTTGAAGCATTGTCAAGGGGATCAGACACCACCCTTTCCCATTCCACGTCACTGGGAGCCACAAGGAGAATACCAGCAGGGGCTAAGCTCTGGTCTGACCCAGCAGAGAGTGCTCAAGTTCTAGAAAATACTCTGTTCGTTAATGCTTATC